TAAACCCTTTTTCTGGAAACGATATGTCGATTATGTCGATGATGTTATTTCTGCAGTATCTGAAAATGAGGCGGAGCGCCTCCTATCGCATTTGAATTCAGTAGAGTCGTCGATCCACTTCACCCTTGAGCGCGAACAGGATAGACATTTGCCCTTTCTTGATTCAAATTTTTCCAGAGGGGTTTAGGGTAATATAGACACAAGTGTCTACTGTAAACCTACCCACACCGACAAATACCTCGCTTTCGATTCTCACCACCCTATTTGCCATAAAAAGTCTGTAGCCAAAACTTTACCCAGGAGGGCTAACTGTCTACCATCTTCATTCGATTCGAAGGCTGAGGAGAGGAAATATGTTTCTAATGTCCTAGAGGCAAATGGCTATTCAAAAACCTTTCTCCCCAACTGCCAAAAACAAGTTACAACTAGTAACTCTCTTGATGAAAGGGAACCAGCGACTGGTTTTGCTGTTATTCCTTACATTCAGGGTGTTACGGAACCCATCAAGAGAATTTTCAATAGCCACAACGTTAAAGTTGCTCAAAAGCCTTTTCAGACTTTGGGGCATATTTTCGCCGAACCTAAGGATCCTGTCACGAAAGAACAACGAACCGACGCCATTTATTCTATTCCTTGCAATGACTGTGACAACGAATACATCGGACAGACCAAACGTCAGTTTGGTACACGTTTGAAAGAGCATCGAAAAGCGGTTTTCTTTTGCGAATGGGAAAATCCAGCTTTATCGGAGCACACATGCCTAACCAACCATACAATTGGGTGGGATAATTCTAAAATTATCACCACTAGTCGGCGTTGCCACCAGCGCCTTTGTTTGGAGGCTTGGCATATTAACTCCGCCCGCGCTCCTTTTAATCGTGACGATGGCGGCTTGCTTCCTGACGCCTATTTACACCTCGTCGGAAAAAAGGCAGCTAATTAGGGATCATAGAAAAGGACCTCTTGTTGCAGCGTTTAGATCATCCCTGATGAAGGCACTTGACAGGAGTGTCGAAACGTTGGGTCTATGAATTGTAATTTCTTCGGTTACATTCATTAAGTCTGATAACCAGAGTAGCATCAAACCATGTCTGGTTCCCGTGTGAACTTTAATAAAAATTAACCTGTTATGAGTTCAGTTATACACATAGTCAGAGGGCTAGATCTTGGTTCCTTTTTGGTGAAATCAGTATTTATTTGCTCCTTTGTATCTCTCAACAAAACGGATAAGATCTTTCTTTAACAATGTAGTTTGTAAATTCTACAAGACGAAAGATTCTATGATTATATGATTATGACTAAATCCTAAGATTCTAAGTGCTTTTGCTTATCAAATTGTTACAGCGTAGCAAACTGAAAGTGACACAACTGAAGTTAGTTTTAGATAGTAGGACGCATTTCCCTATATTGTGAACTAAAATGTTGCTCGGGCTATGAACATAAGCTTTCTGTATAAGCATGCTTTGGCTCTAGTTCACTTCAAATCTTCCACTTATTTCATCCTCGGTGATGTTAATATATGTCCTCTGAAATTGATGAATCAAAGAGAAGAAGATATTTCAGGTTAGATGCACGAGTGAAGCTTGAAATGAAAAAAAAAACTGTAGTCATATAAAAACAGCAGATAGTAAAGAAAATAGTAACAAGGCGGTAGATGAGAAAGAGATATAAAAAAACTCATGAGATACCGCTAATTAGGCAAGCAGTGATACACCGTTTGAACCATTATAATCTGACCAACCTTTTATCTGAGTAATGCTTCTACTTATGTTGTCCGTCTTCCTTTTAAGAGCATATTTGGCCATAAATATATTTATAGCCGTTTGTACAATGGAGTGTTTCAATATTTGTCGCTGCTTCATTGATCTCGTATGACTTCTCTGCATTAATGCAAGTCTACTCATTTGAACACTTAAAGATTTTATTATGTAATCTTATCGAATCGAATCAACATAATGTGGCTAAATGTAATTTAGACAAAGTGAAATTGCGAGCCAATGTGGTCA